CATGTAGAGATTTGATGCTAGAATATAAGGGAATTTTATATAATCGTTATGAACTTATATTTGCAAGTAGTAAAAGTCACTAGTCATGATTGAGTTAAGTAAATTCCTGGCAGGAGTATCATACTTTTCATAGTTACGAATGCTTTGTCAATGCTTATGATTTTCACAGAACTTAATGATCTTTGAGATGTATCTCTATCATGCTTTTCATAGTTAGGGAACTTGAGAAGAATAATTTGGTTGCGTCGCTGAGTCCAATTCAATGAACTTAGGAAAATTTGAGAGTTAATTAGTGCTGTTCACAGTTAATTTCAAGCATTGTCGTTTATGGTTATAGAAAGAATAACTGGAAATCGATTTGTATGCATATTTTCATGTGTGGAGAAGAATCCTCTAGCTATCCTCTTACCCATATTTCATTCACAACTTAATTTACTTGCTGCCATTTACTTTTGTTTTCATTAAATTCGTCCAAAATTCCCTCAGTCATTGTTTTAATGTTAGTTTAATTTAGTTTTTAGTTTTATAAGTTTAATTTGTGTTGATTAGCATCCCTTCTAATCCCCGAAATAAAATGATCCATACTTACTCATACTACGATTGCATAATTTATGAGGTTTAATTAGTGTGTTAGTTTCTACCACATCAAATTTTGGTGCCGTTGCCGGAGATTAGTAAAATTGCTAATCACTCAGTTTTTTTTTTCTTTTTTTACTGTTGATATTTGATTTAGTTTTATATCTTTAATTCAAGTACTAGAGAAGCAAGATATCGAAAGGTCCACAATGCAAAGTGTCCCTACATTTAGTGTGTCCTATAGGCAAGGATATAAAACATATCAAAATCCTCAATTAATTGAGAATGGAGGTTGGAAGAGTGTCAATGCTTGGGGTTATCAAGGCCATAATCAATCAAGGAACGACTTGTTTTCCAACACTTACAATCCAGGTTGGAAAGCTCATTCAAATTTTATGTGGAGGGAACCTCAACAAGTTCAACAAGAAGGATATTGGCATCCATCTGAGGAGTTCTATTCAACACCTATGCAGCCACCACATCCTCTCCCACAACAATCCCAACCAAATTCAGGTTCGTCAATGGATTACAATCAAGTTCTTCAAACACTAAGTTCTTTGACTCAAGGTTTACAAGACCAAGCTAAAAAGATGGGGGACGTGAAGAATCAAATTGGACAGATTGCAAAATTCATGGGACAAATTCGAGAACAACACGAACTTTCCAGCTCAACCAGTGTCAATTTGATGAGAGATTTTGAAATCGATGAAGTAATCACTTTGAGAAGTGGTATAGAGGTTGCAGGTGATTTGAAGGTGTCCAACCATAGCATAGAAGTAGACAAAGATGAGCTATTGCCCGAAGAGGAGAAGGAAGATTCAACCACAACAAGCTTAGAAAAGGCCTTGCCGCATCACCCAATCATCTCTAACCCTATTGCCGCAACTACCCTAGCTCCACCACCATCCAATTCTAGTAAGGTTATTCCGAATTCAATTCTTTCTAACATTATTCTACCAAATGTACCTTTTCCTCACATGTTTTTGCAATCTAAGAAAGAAAAGGGAAAGAAAGACATCTTCGAAACCTTTCCAAAGTTCCAAGTTAATATCCCGATTCTTGGAACAATAAAGCAAGTTCTAGAACATGCTGCATTTTTTAAAGAGCTTTGTACAACAAGAAGAAGGATTTAAGAGAAAGAAGTGGCTAGGGAATATCTAGAATTCATCAAAGAGGATGTATTTGAGACAACCATCCTCAAAGAAGTTGGATTTTATGACATGGGACAAGTCATTGCTCTCACACCAAATCTAGCCCAGTGCAACATTCTTGAAACCTTTGAAGTAGTCTTTGTCCTTGAGTTCTTGTCGTAGAACACAGGTAAGCCACCTTCTCAAATTTCAATTTCGTTTTCTACTAACATGTTGTTGATTTCAATGATTTAGGCACCCACTCTAGAATTTAAACCATGACCAAATCATTTCAAGTATCAACTTCCATTCAAAGATCAACTTCATGCTGCTGGTCCTTGCGAGGATTAATTGGACGTGTCGTCCGGCTAGAAGACTTTAAAGCAAGTGCTTCTTAGGAGGCAACCCATGTGTTCAAATAAAGAGATAATGGAATTTCCATTTCCTACAACCATATTTGCTCTCTTTTATCCTTCTCTTTATTGTTTTTACTTTGCCATGATTGTCTTGTTTGCTAGTTATCTTTTATTGCTTTCTTGTTTAAGTTTATTTTTGAAACATTGAGGACAATGTTTGGTTTAAGTGTGAAGGGGGGGGGGGTAAACATATTGCTTTTCATGACTTATTTTCTAATTTCACCACCTATCACTACTAACGTTATTATTCACCGTTTTAAAGTGTTTTCTTGTGTGTCATATAAAAAAAATTTGAAAAAAAATAAAAAAAGCTTGAGAAAATACCAAAAAGAGTCGTTTTTGTTGCTTGTTTGTGTCTTAGGGTACCTTCTAACATAATGATGAGGATTTGGTTTTTAATTGCATGACTGTTAAAGAAAGTTACAAACATGGGTGAAGTTTGATATGCTCTTTGGTTAATACTTAGTTGTAGTTGTCATTTACGAATTCACATGTAATCTCATAGAAAAAAATCAATTTTTGTGACATGCTTGAAGGAAGAAGCTCAAACTAACGCTATAATCCTGTGAGACTTGAGCCTATTTTTTGTTTGGAGAGTTATTAATCTATGATATTCTTGCTTTATAAAGTCGTTGCATTATCTCATTATTTCTTTGCTTGGTTGCTACTTGGAATTTTTTTTTCATCATTTTAGTTCCAAATACTAGAACTCATGCATGTTTCATTCAAAGCATAAAATTGATTGCATCACAAATAACAAGATGAAGTTGTTTACCACCATAGCCAAAAAGCCTTATCCCTTGCATATGTATTGTAGGTTTAACCCCTTTGAGTCTTATTTAGCCTATTTTCTTTGTTAGCCTGCATTATCCCTACCTAGCCTAGTATAGGAATATCCATACCCTTATTCTTAAAGAATAGTGAAGCATGACTTGTTGGGAATTCCTTTTGATTTACGATTTGCAGAAAAAACAAGTGTGGGGGAAGGATTTGTTATTTTGAATCCGGTGAAGTAGTGCTTATGTTTTATGTTTAAAAAAAAAGAAAGAAGAAAACGTTGAAAAATAAGGAGAAAAGAATAAGAGGTTGAGAAGAAGTGAGAATGAGTTCATAAGTGTTGGTTGTTGAAGAAGGGTCCAAAAATGTGAATATGACCCTAAAGTTGTACGAATCTTCCCCTTATGTTTAAAGTTGGGTACTGCAATCAAAAGTTGAATTCTAAGTGTTGATTTCATTACTTTGCTTACTATCACTTTAAGAACCTTTATTTATCATTAACCTTTCTTTGTTAGCCAATACCTAGCCCCATTACAATCCTAGACTTTTATCTTGATTGTTATGTGTTTCAATATGTGGAGTTTGAAATTGATATGAGCATATGGAATTCCTGGTTTTCGCTTCTAAGTAGTGGCATTCTGTTCATGAGATCATATACATGGTTGTATTAATAAAATTCAGAAAGTGTCTTCTTTGTTATAACATACGTGAGTGCTAATCTACATGTTTACATCAATCTTCTCACATATACGTAGTTTAAGGAGTGTAGTAAAAAAATATATGTGAAAATAGAGAGTATATCCAGTGAGGAATTGAGTGAATTCTCACATATATTATTGTTTGCTGAGTCCAGCTTTTCACTTTTGGTTTCAGAATCAGAAGCATAATGAATTTTATCATGATGAAGAGGTTCCTAAGATTCATTTTTCTTTTCAGGTTCAACATCATTGATAAAACCCATATCTTTTTTAGCTTACAAATTTCTTGTTCTTACTTCTTCACCATGTCATTCAGAGATATTTTTTCTCTGCCTTTAGAGTATTTTCAATGGGAGTTCCTATTTAGGGATTCCCACCACCACTTTTGAGTACTCATTTAAGGACTTAAATGGAATCTTCGTCTCCCTAAGAAAATTTTATTTTATTTTATAGTTTATATGTGATAATTTGATTAGGTGCGAAACTTTTTTTTTTATTATTAATTTAACATTATGTTGTCGTAAAATATTTTGCGAACATTTTGACAAAAAAAAAAATTCAAATTCTGACGCCAAATTTTTTCTTCAAAATATGTAACTGGAATGACTTCATTATTGGATTACGTCATGCCTATGTCATGGCTTCTTTATTAGATTATGTCATGCTTGTGTCAAGATCAATTATTTGTGATCTAGATAAGATTTCAAGTCTTTGAAATTATTGGATTAGATTTTCTTATCTCAATCTCATCTGTTGGATTGTTATCTATCTTTTTATCCTCTCACTATACAAGCGAGGTCTCTCTCTTTCACATTTATGCTATTTTCTACATACATCTTTTAAACACTCAAATTACTCTTCCCAATTACCAAACTACAATGGCACAACAAGGGTATGATAGCTCATCCTCCAACGATGACAACCAAGCTATGGTGATGATGATGACTATGCACGAGGAATGACAAAGATTTTAGAGGAAGAAAGTGACAAATGCTAAACATAGAGGTACATCATCAAGCCGAAGACACTGATCATGAACTTCTTATACATTATTATTTCAATAACCCTCCTATGTATCCACCTGTTCATTTTCGAAGACGATATCGCATGAGGCCATCATTGTTTAATATGATCCTTGAAGGAGCCGTTTAGTTCGACAATTACTTTGTTCAAAAACCTGATGCAGTGGGGAAACTTGGGTTCTCACCACAAATAAACTAAAGATCTGAAAGTGATCATGCAAAAAAAAGTTTTTGAGTAGTAGTTACCTTGTTTTTGTAACAAAGTGTTGTTGTTTTGTAGCAAATGTCACATTCAGGAGTTTTTATGTAACTAATTTTGTGGAAATTTGCCTAAACTCCATTAATTACTTCCTAAATGTATGAAAATATCTACTGAGTGCATTTAGGACCCGTTTGTTTGACCGGATTAGGGGGGACTGGATTGGACTAGATTGTAGTCCCTTGTTTGTTCTGCACCAGGATTAGGTTTAATGGGATTAAATGGGACTCGCTCGGATTAAGGGGTTCGCTAGGAGTTCTTAGCCGAGAACCCCAAATTCGGCCGGACTCGCAAGACCTTCCGCGAGAGAAAACCTCGCTCATCCTGCGAGAGAGAGAGTTGTCACCATCGCTCCCTGCTTGCCTTGCTCCCTCATCCTCGTCCTCTTCACCCTCATCTCTGCGTCTTGCTTGCCTTCATCTGCATCTTGCTCGCCCTTATCTGCTCTTCTTGCCTGGTAAACTTCGAATCTTCGATTTATTTCTTCAATTTGTTTTGCAGATCGTGATATTACTAAGCTTTTATTTGATTTAATTGTTTTGGGTTTGAGAAATTTTCAATAATATACCTCTGTAGTTGAACAAATTAGAGTTTTGATTTTTAGGGTCAAATTCCAGATCCTGCTCGCCCTGCTCCTCCACCTTCTTCTCAGGCGACCTCTCAGGAACACTCCAACCAAATCGCCCCTCCTCCTCCCCTGTTCGATCCCAGTCAAAGTAACCCTCTCTCTCTCTGTCTCTCACTCTTACTCTGGTTCTTTTGAATTTGCAGTAATGTTGTGTGTGTGTGTGTATGTATGCAGTGTGTATGTGTGTATGTATGCAGTGTGTGTGTGTATGTATGCATGCAGTGTGTGTGTGTGTGTATGTATGCAATGTGTGTGTGTGTGTGTGTGTGTATGCAATGTGTGTGTGTGTGTGTATGTATGCAGTGTGTGTGTGTATGCAATGTGTGTGTGTGTGTGTGTATGTATGCAGTGTGTGTGTGTGTATGTATGTAGTGTGTGTGTGTGTGTGTGCAATGTGTGTGTGTGTGTGTGTGTATGCAATGTGTGTGTGTGTGTGTATGTATGCAGTGTGTGTGTGTGTGTGTGTGTGTAGTGTGTGTGTGTGTGTGTGCAATGTGTGTGTGTGTGTGTGTGTATGCAATGTGTGTGTGTGTGTGTGTATGTATGCAGTGTGTGTGTGTGTGTATGTATGTAGTGTGTGTGTGTGTGTGTGTGTATGCAGTGTGTGTGTGTGCAGTGTGTGTGTGTATGTATGTATGCAGTGTGTGTGTGTGTGTGTGTATGCAGTGTGTGTGTGTGTGTGTATGCAGTATGTATGCAGTGTGTGTGTGTGTGTGTGCAGTGTGTGTGTGTGCAGTGTGTGTGTGTGTGTGTGTGTATGCAGTGTGTGTGTATGTATGTATGTATGCAGTATGTATGCAGTGTGTGTGTGTGTGTGTGCAGTGTGTGTGTGTATGTATGCAGTGTGTGTGTGTGTGTGTGTGTGCAGTGTGTGTGTGTGTATGTATGCAGTGTGTGTGTGTGTGTGCAGTGTGTGTGTGTGTGTGTGTGTATGTATGTGCAGTGTGCAGTGTGGTGTGCAGTGTGTGTGTGTGTGTGTGCAGTGTGTGTGTGTATATATGCAGTGTGTGTATGTATGCAGTGTGTGTATGTATGCAGTGTGTGTGTGTGTGCAGTGTGTGTGTGTGTGTGTGTATGTATGCAGTATGTATGCAGTGTGTGTATGTATGCAGTGTGTGTGTGTGCAGTGTGTGTGTGTGAGTATGTATGCAGTGTGTGTGTGTGTGTGTGTGTGTGTGAGTATAAAAACAGAGTGTGTGTGTGAGGGTAAGAGTGTGTTGCACTCTGTCCCCATGTGTGTGTGTGTGTGACTGTGTGCAGTGTGTGAGTGTGAGTGTAAGTGTGAGTGTGAGTGTGTGTGAGTGTGAGTGTAAGTGTGAGTGTGAGTGTGTGAGTGTAAGTGTGAGTGTGAGTGTGTGTGAGTGTGAGTGTAAGTGTGAGTGTGAGTGTGTGTGAGTGTGAGTGTGTGTGCAGTGTGTGTGTGTATGCATGTGTGTGTGTGTGTGCAGTGTGTGTGTGTGTGTATGTATGCAGTATGTATGCAGTGTGCAGTGTGTGTGCAGTGTGTGTGTGAGTGTGTATGCAGTGTGTGTGTGTGTATGCAGTGTGTGTGTGTGTGTATGTAAGCGGTATGTATGCAGTGTGTGTGTGTGTGCAGTGTGTGTATGAGTATGTATGCAGTGTGTGTGTGTGCAGTGTATGTATGCAGTGTGTGTGTGTGCAGTGTGTGTATATGTATGCAGTATGTATGTATGCAGTGTGTGCAGTGTGTGTATGAGTATGAGTATGTATGCAGTGTGTGTGTATGTATGTATGCAGTGTGTGTGTGTGCAGTGTGTGTGTGAGTGTGTATGTATGCAGTGTGTGTGTGTGTGTGTGTATGTATGCGGTATGTATGCGGTATGTATGCAGTGTGTGTGTGTGTGCAGTGTGTGTATGAGTATGTATGCAGTGTGTGTGTGTGCAGTGTGTGTATATGTATGCAGTATGTATGTATGCAGTGTGTGCAGTGTGTGTATGAGTATGAGTATGTATGCAGTGTGTGTGTGTGCAGTGTGTGTGTATGTATGTATGCAGTGTGTGTGTGTGTGCAGTGTGTGTGTGTGTGTATGCAGTATGTATGCAGTGTGCAGTGTGTGTGCATTGTGTGTGTATGCAGTGTGTGTGTGTGTGTACAGTGTGTGTGTGTGTGTGACTGTGTGCAGTGTGTGAGTGTGAGTGTAAGTGTGAGTGTGTGTGAGTGTGAGTGTGTGTGCAGTGTGTGTGAGTGTAAGTGTGAGTGTGAGTGTGTGTGAGTGTGAGTGTGTGTGCAGTGTGTGTGTGTATGCAGTGTGTGTGTGTGTGTGTGCAGTGTATGTGTGTGAGTGTGTATGCAGTGTGTGTGTGAGTGTGTATGCAGTGTGTGTGTGTGTGTGCAGTGTGTGTGTGTGTGTGTGTATGTATGCAGTGTGTGTGTGTGTGTGTATGTATGTATGCAGGGTGTGTGTGAGTCTATGTCAGTGTGTGAGAGTGTGTATGTCCGTATGTGTGTGTTAGTGTGAGTGTGAGTGTGAGTATGTATGTGTATTTTGCACATTTGTCCATGAGTGTGTGTGTATGTACTTGGTTTATAACCATGATATTACAATGTGAATGTTTTGTATGGTGTGAGGTTGATGCTGAATTGCAATTTTTTGTGGTTGTTTGTTGCAGAGAAGAGGAGCATAAACAGAAGGCTAAGGCTAAGGCTACTGCATTACAGGTGTCCTTTAATTTCCCTCTTCACATGCAATGCCTAGGAATGATAGCAATCCTCATACTATTGTTTTTTTTTTTGTTTGGATAGATATGGATCGAAGGAAGCTTTTATTGATCTTATTGTTAGAGATGTCTTATTTGGAGACAATTTGTATTTGTACGATTCTTGTGGTGATGATGCTACGTGGCAAACAGAGACATGTTGAACGACCCACATTGACTAACCGTTCACTTATTAGACGAGAGATTAGTTTGTATTATCTGAATGGTATAATAGGGAATACTGATACTGAATGTGTCAACGAATTGAGAATGGATAGAAGGACTTTTGGCATATTATGCGACTTACTTCGTCAAGATGGGAGGGTAAAAACTGATGGTTTGGTGTCTGTAGAGGAACAGGTGTGTATGACTTTACAAATATTAGCACATCATACTAAGAATCGTAGTGTTGGCGGTAGATTTTATAGGTCGGGAGAGACTATAAGTAGGTATTTCAATAGCGTATTGCAAGGAATTTTGCGATTACAAGGTATCCTACTAAAAGTCCCCCAGCCTGTGCCTATTGATTCTACAGATCCTAGGTGGCGATGTTTTAAGGTATGATGAGAATTTTTTTTTCATTTTCCCTAAGCTTTAACTCTTCATTCCCTTTGTATAAATTAACAAAAACTTTTTTATTTTTTATTTTTAAGAATTGCTTGGGAGCATTGGATGGAACACACATTGATGTGCATGTACCTGAAATTGACAAACCAAGATACCGAACAAGAAAGGGTCGAGTCGCAACTAATGTGTTAGGTGTTGTGTTCAGGAGATATGCAGTTCATATATGTGTTTCCGGGGTGGGAGGGTTCCGCATCAGACTCTAGAGTGCTACATGATGCAATTAGTAGGCCTAATGGTTTTAAGGTACCAGCGGGTAAGACTATTACTTAGTCTCAACTTTGTAAGTTAGGGTTTAGTTTTTGTTTGTCAACTACAAAACACTAATAAGGTCTGTTTTTTTTTTTCATTAGGTTGTTATTACCTTGTAGATGGTGGTTATACAAATGGTGAAGGATTCCTTGCACCCTATAGAGGAATACCTTATCATTTATCTGAATGGGAGGGACGAACACCTTCTAATAAGGAAGAATATTTTAACATGAAGCATTCTAAGGCAAGGAATGTAATTGAACGCTGTTTTGGCTTGCTAAAAGGAAGGTGGTCGATACTAAGGAGTCCATCTTTCTATCCGATAAGGACACAAGGTCGAATAATTACCGCTTGTTGCCTACTACACAATCTTATTAGGCAAGAGATGTCTGTAGATCCAATGGAGAATTTGCCAATAATAGAAGATGGACAAAATACAGAAGAAGGTGAATATGTTGGTAGTGTTCAAACATCGGACCAGTGGACTGCAATGAGGAATGATATGGCTCAGGAAATGTATAATGAGTGGAGAGCAATTAGGAACCAGCAACCGAACTAGCTATATGTGTTAATGATAACATTTTATTTTAGTATTCCTTTTTATCATGCATTTGTTAGATATTAGCACAAATGATTGGATGGTATGCAAATTAATTGGATATTATGCAAGTTGATTGGATATTATGCAAGTTGATTGGATATTATGCAAATTGATTATTTGTATGGTATTTTCCTTCATTAAAATATTTTTTGTTTAGGTATGGATAACGAAAATTTTTTGAATGCTACTCAAGAGCCAAAAGGAAGAAGGCGTAAATGGGAAGCATTTGAGGAAGAAGTATTACTAGGAGTTCTTGAGGATTTTGTTGCTCGGAAGCAACGGTGTGACACCGGTGCTTTCAAACAAGGTACTTTGGTTGAAATAGCAAAAGCTGTCAATGTTTTATGTCCTCATTCAAATATAAAGGCAAATCCACATATTGAGTTCAAGTTGAAGAAATGGAAAAAAAACATATATAGTATGGTCGTTGACATGATAAACACAAGTGGATTTGCATGGAATGATGTCAAAAAGTGCGTTGAAGTTGACAGTGATGACGCATGGCAAACTTATGTGCAGGTTCATATCCTATTTTATTTATGCATTAGTTATATTCTTGCTGCTATATTTGTTACGCATGCTAAATTTTAGTTTTGCTATGTTGATATAATCTTAGAGAAATAAAGAAGCCGATGGATGGAGAAGCAAACCTTTTCCACTGTTTGATAGATTTGCATATATATTTGGAAAAGATCGGGCTACGGGTAATGTAGCCGAAACCCCTGCTCAAATGGTGGAGGAACAAAGTCATGATCATGTTGGTGAAAGTGATATTGGAGGTGATAATTTTGTTTCTTCAATGAACCAACAAAGCCAACAAAGCACCCCATCTGAAAAATAGCCAAAGAAAGAGGAAAAGAGCTGTGGGAAGTTCAAGTGATGGAACCGAGGCAATTATCAGTGGACTGAAAGATTTTTATGTTGAAAGTGGGAAGAGGATGCAAAATGGTAACTGAAGCTTTAGTTCAAGGTACTGCAGATCATACTGACATAGCTAATGAACTTGAAGCAATGGGTCTCTTTCCTATGGATCAAATTGATGCATTGTCTCTTATTTTGGATAAACCAAAAAATGTGGGAGTGTTCAGGGCAATCAAACCGGAACTCAAGAAAGTGTTCGTCCAAAGGCTTTTAAGCGACAACGCAAGTGGATGAGGATTTTGGCTAATGTTAACATGGATGTATTTTATTAACGTTAACATGGATGTATTTTATTAATCATACAATCTTATGTTATGACTTATAACTTAGCTTTGCACTAGTATTTTGGCTTATGTTAACTAGCCATTTTGTAAATTATGGAGATCTATTTTGGCTAATGTTAACTAATGTTAACTAGGATTTTTCTAAATTATGGAGATCTTATGTACTTGTATTTGTTGAAGTTGCATGTATTGGCCACTATTATTTTTCTTCTGTTGGGTGATAGAGTTTAAATCAAGCTACATTTGCAAATTAAACCCAATTCTATTAGCAGGTAATAGAAACAAAACAATTGTCAATTTTTTTTAAGATTCATAATATACATGGTAAAAATATGCTCCAATTAACCCATATCATGAGATTTGTAGCATTACTCTATTACACAATGGCAAAAATTTGTAGTCCTAGTCTAAGCAAACACAAATCTGGTGAACAGTACTGTTTTTCTTATCCTGCTTTTTAGTCCGAGACTGCACCAAACGCTTCACTAAGTTAGTCCAGCTTAGTCCAGTCTAAGCCAGTCCAGCTTAGTCCCGGCAGCTAGTCCAGTCCGAGACAGTCCGACGCAACAAACGCACCCTTAGATTTTTGTGGTATTTTGCATGAGAGAGTTTTGCAATGAATTTTGGGGAGGGTGATGAATCAATCACATCAGTCAGGGGCGGAGCCACCTTGTCATTAGGGTGGTCATTTGACCCTTGTGGCCTTTTAAAGGTTATCATTAAAATAGTATGTATTATAATATAATTTATTAATGATTTGATAAATTCTTATATATTGACCCTTGTGGCCACTAAAACAATTTAACCCTTATTTGTTAGTCAATAGAAGAGTTTCAATATGGTAGAGTTATTTGTTACCTTTTTGTCTTCTTTCATTATTTACTACATTTATAATATTTAGAAAATTAGGCAATTATACAAACTGAAAATGTAATCAACCAATTAGCATTAAACTGTAAACTTTTCCTCCATCAACTAAAAACTTTTAAACTTCTATTCAAAGAATCGGGCATCTCCAACTCCTAGACAACAAGCCTTTGCCAATTCATCTTTGGATTTTTTTAATCAACAAATCAATTAGGTAATTCTTAACTCTTAGTTTACAATTTTCTTTGTGATTTGTTGCTTATATATAGAGAAAGACAATGTGGTAATATATATCGAGAAAGATACCTTCGATAATATTGACAATTGTCGATACAAATTTCCATTGTCGATAGCTTTGACAAAAATGCACTTGCAAAATAATCAACACCTCTGATCAATGACCTAAGCCTCATGCACCCACGAGGTGGGAGGGGGGTTAGGCCAATGGATCTCCGATGCCTAAATTAGTTTATTTGAAAAAGAGTAAGTGTTTAGGGCTTTTAGGGATAGCAACATTTTACCGAATTTGGTGAAGATGGGGGTATTTATGGGAGGAGGGGCCGGCCATGGTATTAGGTTTTACCCTACACCTGGCTAAGATTTTATGGAGAAATATTCTCAAGATATTAAATAGGAAATAATATCTTGATATAATGGTGTAAATATCCCTAATTGGTTTAAATAGGGATTACTTACTTGAATAGAGTCAATCTTCAATTGGGAATTTATTAAAGATAGGGTTTGGTTAACTAATCCTTATTTTTTATGCTTTGATTTTTCCTTGCCATGGGCAGGTGATGTCACAGCCCGTCCTGGAATTTTAATTCCGAGGACGTGAAAAGACGAAAATGCCCTTAAACGGGATTAAGGTGCGTAATTTTGGTATTGGTTTTACCTAAAATTCCTAAGTTATTGTTAATTAAACTTAAACTTGGACTAATAATTTTGTGTTTGGACTTTAGGTAGGGTCCTACACCCTAAATCCCTCCCCATTTCCCGTTTGTTGTCTCTCTCTCATCTCCTCAGTCACTCTCTCTCTCTTCCTCAGCTCTTCCTCAGAAACTCTCACTCTCTCTCTTCTTCTCGAACGCACGGGCAACCACCAAAACCACCTAAAACCTATACCAACGTCCAAGTTAAGACTACCATTGCAACCCTGAGGACTCCACGATCACGTAGACACCATTTTCAGGTAAGTTTTGCTTCGGAAAACCCTAGTTTTTAAGGTCCCGTGTTTATATACTGTTCATGATCTTTTAAATGGTTACGATTTAGGCTAAAACAAGATCACAGCGAGCTTAGTGAGGTCCCAAGGAAGCTCGGAGTGATTCGTTGGAAGTTTTTGGACGTAAGAACACGGAGATCGACAAGTTCAAAGTTTGGCCGGAGCTTTCGAGGCTTTTTCCGG